GAAAAGGCCGCGTCCTCGGTAGCGCTATTCAGTTGACTAATATCTGTGGCTAAGGCTAGCTGGGGGCTTAAAGAAAGGACGACAAGGATCCTGTACAAATCGGTGTTCCTGCCACGTATGGGTTATGCGGCCTCCGTATGGACGAGCGCTGCATGGCCCAATACCGGCATCGAACACGGGCAAACACCGCCCAAAGACGCCCGTTACTGGCAATGACGGGCGCGTATAAGACCACGTCGACGATGGCGCTCCAGGTCATAGCCGGAGTACCTCCCCTCGACTTAGAACTAGTGCGGCTGGCTAAGATCGAACGGGATAAGAGTGCCGTGAGGAAAGGAAACAAGTCGGCGTCAGACGTTGCTGGAAAAGCGAAACAGTATTACGACACTATCATACGCCTCTGGCAGGAGAGATGGGTCGCCAGTGACAAAGGTAGGCGGACGGCGATTTGGTTCCCGGACGTCCGGCGCAGACTGGAGTGGCCGGAGTTCGTTCCGGACCACTATATCTCGCAGTTCGTGTCCGGACACGGAAACTTCAATTCGTCGCCTTGTCGTTTCAACCTCCGAGGCGAGGCACGTTGCCGATGCGGTCTTCCAGAGGAAATCGCGGAGCATGTGCTATTCGATTGCACAGCATATAGCCAGGAAAGAAACAAGCTCGCAGCCGAAGCGCAAGCGGAATGTGTGGACTGGTCGTGCGAATGCGTTACTATGACCTCCACGGAGGCCATGTTCCTTGCGTTCAAAAACTTCTCTCGAGAAGTCCTAGAACGATAAGACGTAGGCCGATCCCGTGGGCACGATCCGGACCCCTAATTTTAAAACCATAGCGGACGGGCGTGTGGCTAGAGGGCGTACCTGCAGGGCACGGTGCACTGCCAGAGACATGGGGACAGACTACCCTATCCACGCGGGCACAAATCGTCCGAGTGGGCCTTACCAAAACGACTGTCGCTGTCACCGATGGCGGCGGGGCGAAGTACCGTATAGTGGCAGACAAAGCTGGACCCGATAGCCGGATCAAGTGCCCTAAGACGGTGCCCCCACAGGATCGTCGAACGCCCTCCGTACTAAGACCCGCCTAGCCGGGAGTGAAGGACGGGATACCTCGCGGGACGGACTGAATGCCCGCCTTCCACGGTGGCGGGACGGACGGAACATCTCGTAGGTCGAATTAAGTGCTCTCACTCCCTATGAATAAAATCTTGCCTAGACCGAGAGCTCGAACTAAAGGGTCCAGATCACCTATCGGGCGAAGCACGTGCACGTATTCAGCCGGCTTGGGGCTTGATATGAAGAGGCACCGGCAGAAACGGCAATCTGTCGATAAAGAGCAAAACCGTACGCACGAAAAGGGGGTCGTTAATATTATAACTTTTTCTTTAAAAAGACTTAATTTTGAAATAAATGCACTAATAATGGACTTCGATTTAATAAAATTAATTTTATGGCCTTGCAAATTTTTATTGATATCATTAAGTTTTTTAAAAATATCTGCTTGGTATGAGATATTCGTTCTTCTTTTATGCAATTCACATCGTAAAGTTGTTTATCAAATTGCTGCAGAAATTTTAGTATAATTTGAAATAAATTATAAAAGCGTGTCAAACAATTTCCTTTTGATAGCCACCTAACTTCGGTGTGTAGAACAAGGCGTTCAAAGACTTCATCATTTTCGTGGCATAATTGTCGAAACAAACGGTCATTCAATGATTTAGCTTTGATTTTATTAACAGCATTTATAACAAACCACATGGTATCAAATAGTTCATCACTTAAATTTTTAGATACTAAATGTTGACGATGAATGACACAATGAACTGTTAAAATCCCAGGGACTGCATTTTTTAAATGATCAATAAAACCACGTTGACGTCCAATCATTACAGGCGCTCCGTCAGTCGCACAAGCTATACAATTTGTGATAGGAATACCCTTTTCTGTGAAAAAATTATCGACTACTTTAAATATGGTTAATCCTTTGGTATCCGTGTTTAATAATTTTGCAAATAGTAGTTCTTCCGTTATTTTACCGTCGATGTTTACATATCGCACGTATGCAAGTAAGAGGGCTTCGTTATCTCGTAAAGTGGATTCATCAAGTTGTAGTGAAAATTTTGTTATTTTTAAAATATCACACAATTTTATTTCTACATCATACGCCATTTCATCAATTTGCCGGGACACAGTTTTATTACTAAGAGGAATAGATGAAGTTATGCTAGTTACATTTAAATTTGTTATTCATTTTAATATTGCTTCTACAGCAGGTAAAAAAAGTGTTTTGCTGATAGTATGTGGTTTTACTCTGTAAGATGCAAGGAGACATTTATCGTTATTTAGATGTGTTTGATTAAAAAGTTCAGCCACGGTTTCTTAAGGTCAGTAAAGTATAAAATATTTTTGTTACCTTTATCTGAAT